GAAAGAGGAGTTCTCGATGTAGTAGTTCAGATGGTGAAGATCTTGAGAGAATAAGGAAGGGGTCTAGAAAAAAATGGTATTCGCCTGATGAGTATTCATCATCATCATATTCTTCGGGCAATGAAAGTGAGGGAAATTCTGATCATGATAGAAGAAAGAGTCAGAGTAAGAGAAAAGGAAAGAGAAGTAGTGAGGATATGTCCAAGGATGAGGTCAGCTATAGGTCAAAGAAGAGATCGAGTAGTGATAAAAAAGAATATATATCAGAAGATCATTCTTCTCCTCCTTCTGATGGGGAAGACAGTGATAGTTATTCTGATAGGAAAGAAAGGCGCAAGAAAGATAGTAGAAAAGACGGAAAGAAAAAGAGTAAAAATAGGAGTCAAAGAAGCCTTGTGGATGAAGAATTCTCTGGTTGGTTATCTATGCGATTTTTCTAAAAGGTTTTTTTAATCTAATGATATGATGTTGATCACATTCATGCTCCTTTCCTTCATATAGATGGTGGTAGAGGAACTAGTCCTTCGAAAGATGGACAAATTGCAAGGAAGGAAATTGGCTTAGAGTGGATGCTTAGACCTGAAGGAAAAACAGATAGAACACCTACAGTGATTGTTGAGGAGCAACCAAAGGAAACTCCAGTTGAGGAGGTACGCTTTCACCTTGTAAATCATGCATCTAACCTTTGTAGTTGTAGTGTTACAAATGGGCTGCTAAGTTTTTATTATATAGCCAACATAGTCCTGTTTGTTTGGTTGGTAGTGGTCAGCAATGAGATGGCAGAGGAAAAGGTTGAGTAACCCCATTAATTGGGCGCAGATCAGCCATGACTGTTGTCCTTAACAAAGTGGTCATGTGCCACTGACATGACCACTTTTGTTAAGAAATTTAAACAGAAGCTATTATTTGGACTAACTAAACAGAAGATTGTTAGTTTAGGAGGTTAAGTGTCACATGTTATACAGTTCAAGGACTAAAATGAGACATGGATTAAAACTCAGGGATTAGTGAAATGTACCCCCCAGAACAGGTTACCTCCTTCTACAAATAACAGGTGGTTTGTGATTCTTGTAGTTAAGAAAATAAATATTTGTTTTAGAAGAGAGAAACTAGATCTTTAGCTACTCATTTTGATTGCTGTGAAAGGTTTTGTTTATGAAATTGTTTTTGTGGAGTTGTGTTCTTCTGGATTCTAGTGATGCCAGCATATAATATGTATCCCTTCTAGCTTCTGCTCCAATGGTGGCTTAAATTGCATCACTTGGGATTTTTTTTGGGTCCAATATTATGCTTCCCTGCCTTTTCATTTTCTTTCAGTTATATGGTTGTTTACTAACTGCACTTTATCTTCACTGTGTGTTAGATAAAGAAGGTCAATCCCAGGGAATTAAATCCGTATTTCAAGGATGATGGAAGTGGTTATCCAGAAGATACAGATGAACCGAAAGCTGGTGTGGACCAACTTTTATCTCCCTCTGTTGTTGGGGATGGAGGTGCAAGTTGGAGACTTAAAGCATTGAAGCGTGCGAAAGAGCAAGCAACTCGAGAAGGACGAAGGCTCCAGGAGGTATCCTACGTTAGCT